GCATGCGAACCCTACCCCTACCCCCTACGATTTCTGAGGGGGAGGGTGGGTTTCACTTCGCTCGGGAGGTCCCGAACGAAGTGAACCTCACCCCCCCCCTCAGAAATCGTGGGGGGTAGGGGTAGGGTTCGCATGTGGCGGCCGGGCGATGGGTAGAGCAGAATACCAGGTGTTTCCCCCCCCCCCTGCGTGGCCTCGTGACGGGCGCAAGGTCGAGTCGTTTTTTCCGCCCACGGTACTTGTGCGCGGGGGAAATCATTGGATAGTATTGTTTTGGTCCACTAGGTGTGGCCGTATGACAAAGTAGCGAAGAATGGTATATTTCCACCCCCATGGTTGCCACGTCCCATGGTTGCCATGCGACGAGCAGAGCAGCTCTTCATTTGTTCCCGCCCACTGCGGAGCCGGAGCCACGCGACGAGTACGGTCGACGATCCAGGATATCCGAAGGATTTCGCTAGCATTTCGACGGATCCTTGAAAATCCAGTGGGAGTCCTGGAGATTTGGATTTTTGTGAAGCTCAGAGATGGAGAGTCGGAGTGGGGGCCAGGGGGGTGGGCTTCGGGCTGCGGAGGTCCATAGGGAGGAGGGGTAGTCGTCGTCGTCGTCGTCGTCGTCGTCGTCATTGTCGTCGTCGTCTTCTTCGTTTTCGTCTTCGTCTTCGTTGTCTGCCGTCGTCGTCGTCGTCGTCGTCGTCGTCGTCGTCTTCGTCGTCGTCTTCGTCGTCTTCGTCGTCTTCGTCGTTGTCGTCGCATCCCCGCGTCGCCGTTGTCGTCGTCGGCCGGCGTCGTTGTCGTCGTTGTCGTCGTCGTCGTTGTCTTCGTCGTCGTCGGCCAGCGTCATCGTCGTTGTTGTCGTCGTCGTCATCGTTATCATCGTTGTCGTCGTCGTTTTTTCCGCCAGAGTCGTCGTCGTCGCCGTCGTCATCCTTGTTGTCCCGGCCGTCGCCGTCGGCCGGCTTCGTCGTCTTCGTCTTCGTCGTCGTCGTTGTCGTCGTCATCTTCGGCCAGCGTCGTCGTCGTCGTCGTCGTCGTCGCCGTCGCCGTCGTCGTCGTCGTCTGCTGGCGTCGTCGTCGTCGTCGGCCCGCGTCGTCGTCTTTGTCGTCATCGTTGTCGTTGGCCAGCGTCGTCGTCGTCTTCGTCGTCGTCGTCGTCGGCCGGCGTCGTCGTCGGCCGGCGTCGTCGTCGTCTTTGTCGGCGTTGTCGTGGTCGTCGTCGTTGTCCTTGTCCTCGGCCAGCGTCGTCGTCACCGTCGTCGTCATCGTCGTGGTTGTAATCGTCTTCGTCGTCATCGTCGTCGTTGTCGTCCGTCTCGTCGTCGGCCAGCACCGTCGTCGTCGACGTTGTCTTCGTCGTCGTCGTCGTCGACGTCGTCGTCATCGTCGTCGTCGTCGTGGTCGTCGTCGTCGTCGTCGTCTTCGTCTTCGTCGTCTTCGTCGTCTTCGTCGGCTTCGAGTTGTCGTCGCATCCCAGCGTCGTCTTTGTCGGCGTCGCGTCGGCCAGCGTCGTCGCCGTCGTCGTGGTCGTCGTCGTCGTCGTCGTCGTCGTCGTCGGCGTCGTCGTCGTTTTCGTCAGCGTCGTCTTCGTCGTCGTCGTCGTCGTCGTCGTCGGTCAGCGTCGTCGTCGTCGTCGTCGTCGTCGCCGTTTGGGCCAGTGCTTCCAACTGGGGAGGTGCAAGGGGGGTGCGTAGCCTGCAAGGGTCGGACGGGGAGAGGGCGGCCGGCGTGGGTGCCTTCGGCAGAAGCGCCGAGGAGGAGGAGGGGGGGGTAGTGTCCGGAGCTCGAAAAGAGGGGGGAGGAGAGGCCTGCGGTAGGTTGCGTCGTGTCGACCAGCGGCGACCCCAGCGCGGGCGTTCAAGGTTGAACGCCGCCGGCGACCCAGAATCGATCGATGTTGAACGATCGGACGTTGCGGCAGCGGCCGATCGTTCAAGGTTGAATGATTCCTGCGGTGTCAAAAACCAACGCCGAAGTCGGCACGACACGAACCTGCCGTAGAGGCCTCGGTTGGGGAGGTCCAAGGAGGGGGGGATGCTTGCAGAGGCTGCGAGGGGAAGGGGGTTGGGTGGTAGCTGCAGGCGGGGGAGGCTCAAGGGGGGGCTGGGAGCTTCCGTGGAGAAAAAGAGATGGAAGGGGGGAGGCTTCCAACCTGGGGAGGTGACATGGAGGTGGGGGTAGCTTGAAGGGGTTGCAGGCAGGAGGAAGGGAGGGAGGCAGGGGTGCCAAAGCGAGGAGGGGGCGGGTAGGTTCCAGAACGCAAGAAAAGGAAGGGGGGAAGTGTGGGGGGGGCCTTCCGACAGGGGAGTTCGAAGGGGCGGGTGCCGGCGACGGAGATTCCACATAATGCTTGCGCTGGTGCATTTGGAATTTCGGGATATTTCACGCTTGCGGTGAGTGGTAGGGGGGCTTCATTTTCCCCAAGGGGGAGGGTAGCTAGGGGGGGACATCCACTAGCGCTGTCTCCCGTGGCGCGCCCTCTCGTATGTATGTATGTATGTCTGTCTGTATGTATGTATGTATGTATGGATGGATGCATGGATGGATGGATGGATGTATGTATGTATGTATGTGTGTGTGTATGTATATATGTGTGTATGTATGTATGTACCTACGTACGCATGTGTGTATGTATGCATGCACGCATGTCTGTCTGTCTGTCTGTCTGTCTGTCTGTGTGTCTGTATGTATGTATGTATGTATGTATGTATGTATGTATGTGTGTATGCATCTATTTACTCGCGTATGTATGTATGCAGGCATGTAGGTATGTAGGTACGTAGGTATGTATATGTATGTGTATTTGGATGCTTTCATATCTGTCTGTCTGTCTGTCTGTCTGTCTGTCTGTCTGTTTGTCTGAATGTCTGTGTGTCTGTCTGTCTGTCTGTCCGTCTGTCTGTCTGTCTGTCTGTCTGTCTGTATTTGCATATACGCATGCATGCATGCATGTATGTATGTATGTATGCTTGTATGCCTGAATGCATGTATGTAGATGTATGTACGTATGTACGCATGTATGTATGTCTGTAGGTGTGGACGGTATGGAAGGTAAGTGTGCCTGTCTGTCTGTCTGCCTATGCGCGAGTGTGTATGTATGTATGCATGTGTGTATGTAGGTATGTAGGTTAATCGGCTGACAGGTAGAAAGGTAGGTCGGTGGGTAGGTAGGTGAGTAGGTATGGCTGTCGGTCGGTAGGTTTGTGCGTAGATATGCGGGTATGTATGTATTTATGAATGCATGCATGAATGTATGCATGTACGCATATATGTACGAATGTATGTATACATGCATGTATGTATAATGTACGCATGTATATATGTATGTATGTATGTATGTATGACTGTATGTATGTATGTTTGTATATATATATGTACATGTATGCATATATATATGTACGTATGCATGTATGACTGCATGTAGGCATGCATGTATTTATGCACGTTTCCCCAATGCGTCCGTATATAGTGTATGTGTATGTATGCATGTATGTGTGTATTCAAGTATGTATATATGAATGCATGTATGCATGTATGTATGCAGGTATGTGCATATGTATGTATGTATGCATGCATGCACATATATATGTATATATATACATACACACATATATATGCATGTATGTCTGTGTGTGCATGTGTGTTTGTAAGTTATGCGTGTATGTCTGTTTATATGCATGTAATCATGCAAGTACGTAAGGCTGTATACCTACACGTTGATAAACATACATGTAACACACGTGTATACTATATATACAGATAGAGAGAGGGAGGGACATAGAGAGAGATTGAGAGAGTGATACGATGCTGATCAGGCTGAGGACGATCAGTTGGAGCATCATATGGAGCTTGATGATGGGACGGGACCGGAGGAGGATGCATGTGGAGGGCATTGGATGCATACGGGCGAGAAGGAAGAGGACGAGGATGTGGAAGATGGGCGAGGAGGAGGAAAAGGGATCCCATCGGGTTCCAGAAAACTGCAACTGGTTACCTTTGTGTGCTCGTTCGTATCGATCGTGCTTGCTAGTCAAGTGGCTTACGCCATTCCGCCGACCCCCACAAGGAGTGAGTGTTTGAGACAATCGTGGCGGTCATATCTTGGGTCAGGAGCCTCCTGGATGAATCTGAGGGTCTCTTGGGATGCCTTTCTGGGGCCTCTTGGAGAACTCTTGGAGGCATGTGGGAGACTTTTGGGGGGTTCGTGGGGGCCTCTGGGGGGCGTCTTAGAGGCCTCTTGGGGTCTCTTGGAGGGCCATTGGGGGCCTCTGGAGGGCTCGAGGGGCCATCTTGGTGGCAAAGGCTCGAAATGTCAGTACGTACTCCCCCTCTTGGGCTTTCTTGGGGCCCTCTTGGGGTCCCCCAGGGGCTGTCTTTGGCCGTCTTGGGGTGCCCCTGGGGCTGTCTTTGGGCCCTCTTGGGCCGTCTTGGGGCCTTCTTGGAAGCATCATGGGCCGTCTTGGGACGATCTTGGGGGCCAGTTGGGCCGTCGTCTTTGCTGTCAAAACGTGAAGAAGTGCAAGTGTGCTGAAAATGTAGGTTTTACTAAGGGAAGGTGACGATTTTGGCCTTTTGGGGCCCTCTCGGCGATCCTCTGGAGCGCTTTTGGGCTGTCTTGGGGTCTTCGTGGGCCATCTTGAAGCCATCTTGGATCGTCGTGGGGCTACCCTTGGCCGTCATGACGCTCTCTTCGACTGTCTTGGCGCTCTGTCTGGGCCCTCTTGGGCTGTCTTGGGGCTTTTTGGAGGCTCTGGAGGCCCCAAAGGTGCGTTGACGAGCTCGTCCCCCCCCCCCCCCCCCCAGAATGGCATTTTGGACCCCAGGGGAGGGGGAAGAAAGAGGGAGGGGGACAGCAAAATGTCTCACACGCCTCGTCACGCACGGCAAGCGGGATTCGTCGGATTTGTGCAGACCCATTGACTGTCGTGTGTGCACGGTGTCCAGCCATCTTCTCTTGCTCCAGGCATTCTGCGTTCCCCCTCCGGTCACCCAACCCACTCCCGTCAAGGCATCCACGGCTCAAAGAAAGCAAGGCCCTCCCTCGCGAGAGCGAGGCACCTTTCCGCACACACCTCCGCGACCATGGCTGCTCGCGTCTGCCAGGGCAGCCGCCTCGCGGTCTTTGTCCTCGTCGGCCTCGCCAGCCGCGCCACCGGCAGCGCCTTCCTCCGTCGCTCCGACCTGCAAGAGGCACTGCCTGGGATCGGCTCGGACTTCGAGCGGGTCCTGCAGGCGGAGCTCGAGGAGGCCTTCTCGGCCAGCGGGCAGCAGTGGCGCGCCGCGGAGGGGCGCGCCGTGCACATCAAGGAGGCGCTGCGCCCGACCTTCGTGTCCATGCCGAAGAACGAGCACGGCAAGCTCGGCCACGCCGCCGTGCGCTACGTGCTCCATCGCCTGTTCGTGTCGCGGCACGGCTGGTTCATCCAGGGTCTGCAGCCCGACGGCGACGCTCGGGACTCCGCTAATTCCTCTGGCATCATCCACGATCAGGTGCCAGAGCGCGTGCAGGAGCTCTTCGAGAAGCGCCTGGGCGGACACGGACTGGGGCTCGACGAGATCACGGTGCTGGCCGCGACGCTGGAGCACCTGGTGCACAGCGAGGTGTCGGGCCACGTCGCCTCGCTCTTCGAGCTGGGCGGCTTCAGCGCAGCATCGGGGGTTATCAGCACGGAAGCCGCGCAGAAGATCATCGACACGTACATGGCTATTTACCTCGTCGGAGGCAACGCGTCGAGCATGTCGGCGGCCGAGGCGGCGCGCGCCCTCCGTGGCATCCAGCGGGTGTACCCTTCGTGGGGCGAGACGCAGAAGTTCGTGCACGACATCTTCGACGAGGTTGCCCCCGCGCGCGGCGCCGGGGCCACCCGCTTCGCCGACGTCGTCCGGGTTGCCGAGGAGGTCGGGGAGCGGTACGGGCGCTGGCAGGACAGCGAGTGCCGCGGCCTCAAGGACAAGCTGGCCCGCTACGGCGACCTGGCGACCGGGCGGGTCCGCCTCGCGGACTTCTACCGCGGCGCTGTGCACGATGGGCACTACGAGTTCTCGGAGAGCATCGCCTACCTGCGCGAGATCGGTGCCCTCGACGAGTCCGATGCCACCAATCCCCGCGTGATCGTCCCCAATTACATCAACGGCCCGTCGAACTGCGTCGCGTCCTCGAGCTACTACTCCGTGTGCTGCATCAACGAGTGCGAGGGGCTACTGGGCCACCTCGAGGAGAGGCTCGGCGCGGCCGACGGCTCCCCTGCGGAAATCGCTGCGCTGGTGACCTCGCTGCCCTCTGCCACACGGGCGGCTGGGCGCGACCTGTCGGCGCCGCTGGTGGACAGGCTGCAGGACGTGGCCGAGCACCACGGAGGCCGCGTGCCACTCCACGGCCGCCTCTTCGCCCAGTGGCTGCACCTGGCCTACCCCATGGAGTGCCCGTTTCCGCACCTGGCGGGCACGGCGAACCCCGTGAAGGCAGCGGACTGGCGCAGGCAGACAGGCAGCAACGCCATGGCGAGTCGCCGGGAGATGGACCAGCACATCCAGGACGCCCCCGAGGAGGCCGCGACGGGCCCCCAGGAGGAGGGCACCTGCGGCATGTGGACGATGACGGAGGAGCTGGTGGCCGGGGGGGCCTCCCCGGCTGCCGGCAAGAGGACCAGAAGCTGGGCCCGGGCAGCGATCCAGGGCGCCATGCTCCTGTCCGCGGCGGTGTCCATGGGCCTCGCGGCCGTGCGGGCGGGCAGCGCTGCGCTGCCGCTGTCGAAGGGCAAGGTCGAGAAGTGCCTCGTGTGAGCACGCGGCCGCGGCGGGCACTCGATAAATACCTGAAGCGCGACCCTGGGCCGGCGTTCCGATCGTGCGGCTCCAGCTCCCCTCCCTTCCCCTTTGCCTCTCTCTGTCTCGTCGTTGTCATCGCCGCCCTCGTTCTTGTCCTCGTCCTCGTCGTCGCCCTCCTGCCCCTCCTTCCTTTCTCGCCTTGACGTCCACCTTGCATTGCGGGGCGCAGGGGGAGCAGGGGACTCAACTCTCGTGGGAGGGGGGAGGGCTCCTCTGCTGCCACTCGTCTTGCATCGTACGTGGCCTCCTGCAGACTCTTCTAGGGGGCCACATGTGAACCCTACCCCTACCCCCACGATTTCTGAGGGGAGGGTGGGGTTCACTTCGCTCGGGAGCTCCCGAACAAGGTGAACCCCACCCTCCCCCTCGGAAATCGTGCGGGGTAGGGGTATTGTTCACATGTGGCCCCCTATCTTCTCCTCCTCGGCTCAGCAGCCCCCGCGCGCGACGGGAAGCTGGATACACATGACGCGACCGGCCCGGGCGAGAGCTGCATACGGATGTGTCCAGAGGTTTTCACAGGGCTCGACCTAGCCAGGGCTGGATCTGCTCGGCCCTCCGTACGTGGATCCGGCGCCTGGCCTCCTGGGCTGTCCACGTGTGAGTCCAGCCGTGTGCGTGTTTGTTTGCATATGTATTTGTATATATATATATATGTGTGTATGTATACATGTATATACATGTAGGTGTATATGTATGTGTGTGTATATATATATGTACATGCACGTGTTTGTGTGCGTGTGTGTCACTTACCGTTTGCCCGGCCTTAACTCGTTGGGGAATGCAGAGTAATCGTGCGAGCGGCTTTTCCGCCCCCACCGCGTGCGTCCCAAAAGTGTGTGTAAGCGTGTGTAAGTGTGTGTAAGTGTGTGTAAGTGTGTGTAAGTGTGTGTAAGTGTGTGTGTGTGTGTGTGTGTGTGAGTGCGTGCGTGAGTGCGTGTGTGAGTGTGTGAGTGTGTGAGTGTGTATGTGTGTGCGTGTGAGTGTGTATGTGTGTGCGTGTGAGTGTGTGTGTGTGTGTGTTTGTGTGGTGTGTGTGTGTCTCTATGTGTCCAGCTTCCTGGTAGAGCACGGGCGGCAGGCCGTCGATGGCCCTGGCATCCACGGCTGCGAGCTCCGTGCTGGCACTCGGGCCCGCACGCCCGGCCTGGGCCGGTGGCATCTGTCAGCCAGGGCCCCCTCCCCCCCAGAGCTCAGGAGTACCTCCTCCTCCTCCTCCTCCGCCTCCTCCTCCTCCTCCGCCTCCTCCGCCTCCGCCTCCTCCTCCTCCTCCTCCTCCTCCTCCTCCTCCTCCTCCTCCTCCTCCTCCTCCTCCTCCTCCTCCTCCTCCTCCTCCTCCTCCTCCTCCTCCTCCTCCTCCTCCTCCTCCTCCCCCCCTCCTCCTCTTCCTCCTCCTCCTCCTCTTCCTCCCCTCCTCCTCCTCCTCCTCCTCCTCCTCCTCCTCCTCCTCCTCCTCCTCCTCCTCCTCCTCCTCCTCCTCCTCCTCATCCTCCTCCTCCTCCTCCTCCTCCTCCTCCTCTCCTCCTCCTCCTCCTCCTCCTCCCCCCTTCTCCTCCCCCCTCCTCGAAACGCTGCGCCACAGACGTCGCAGGCCGACCTCGTCCGCGAGAGGCTCCAGCCCCGAGGCGGGACAGACCGCTTGCGCCAGTGCACGTCGGCGCGCCTATGGAGTCCCCTCCTGCGTTCGAAACTTGCCTGCCGCGTCGCGGTGGAGATCGAAGTGGCACACAGTGGAGATCCATGCCAAGAAACACCCTGCTTACCTCCAGGGTGCCCTGGGTTTCTTTGGTTTCGATGGTAGCGTGACGTTCCCACACCAAAACCAATGGACGTCCTGAGGTCTCAGGGTTGGGTTTCTTGTGGAAGGTTTCTTGTGGTCGGGCCCCTACTGCACGGCGCCGCCCGCTCGGGCGCGAGCCGGCTCCACGTGTGAGCGACGCAGAGCAAAGCGGTGCCGTCTTCGCACGGCACTGGCGCGCCAGTTGCTCGCGCAGTGTCGCGCGTGAGTACTCTCGCTCTTCCAATGTGGCGTGCCGCGCTGGCGGCCCGCGTAATCCATCGCGTGCAGTGCCGTTTTTAATACATGCTCCGCGTGCGGATCATGTATTAACAATGCGGGGATTTAGTACTAAAAACAACGATGAGTTCATGCATACGTTCATTCATAAATTAATCATGTATTATACATCCAATATTAAAACAATCCCATGTATAAAAAACTACCCTGTGATCCATCGCGTAAGGTCGCTGTGCCATCTCGCCTCAGACCCGTTGCTCTTCGGGGTTCAGAAGGGCTCATGCGACTTGTGACTCAACCCATCCAAAAACTGGCTGCACGCAAAAGTGCAGTCAACGCCTAAGGCACAGTCCCGGGTTGATGAGACCCGCTCCTGTGGCCTGTCCGGCCGACGGCCCAGTCAACAGACCAATTGTTCGACCAACTGGCGCGTGGTGCTGCACTGCTCTGGCCCGAGCATTTTCTTTGGGTGGAGGGCAAAGGGTGGAATCTGAAGTGCCATTCCGATGGATTTTCGAGGCCTGCACCTGCAAATAGGGGATCGCAAGACGGAGGTGCGCAAGGCCATGTGGATTTCACCCTGAGCCCTCCACCTCCACTGAGGGCGGGCCTCTTGGGGGGGCTCTCCCTCCTCCTCCTCCTCCTCCTCCTCCTCCTCCTCCTCCTCCTCCTCCCTCCTCCCTCCTCCTCCCTCCTCCCTCCTCCCTCCTCCCTCCTCCCTCCTCCCCTCCCTCCTCCTCCTCCCTCCTCCTCCTCCTCCTCCTCCTCCTCCTCCTCCTCCTCCTCCTCCTCCTCCTCCTCCTCCTCCTCCTCCTCCTCCTCCTCCCTCCTCCTCCTCCTCCTCCTCCTCCTCCCTCCTCCTCTCTCCCCCCCCCCTCCTCCCCCTCCTCCTCCTCCTCCTCCTCTCTCCTCCCTCCTCATCCTCCTCCTCCTCCTCCTCCCTCCTCCTCCTCTCTCCTCCTCCTCTCCTCCTCCTCCTCCTCCTCCTCCTCCTCTCCTCCTCCTCCTCCTCCTCCCTGGAGAACTGCTCAGCTGGCTGCCCTGACCCTCCACTTTTCGACCGCGTGACCGGCCGCTCTGCCAGCGCCCGTCGGCCCCCCCCTGCCGCGGGAGCCGCGCGGAGGCCCTCCGCGCGCGCGGCCTCCGCGCACGTTCTGGCCGCGCGCGCGCTTCCCGCTGGCTGGCGGAGCCGGGCCCCGTGGCCTTCGTGCGGCGCCGTCTTCAGGCGCGGGCGCCAGCCGTCCTTCGACGGCGAGCCCAGGGGGGGCCGCGAGAGGGGGCGGACGCTCTCATGCTGCGGCGGGGCTTCTCGGAGGCCCCGCGGCCTCGCGAGAAGCCGTCCGTGTCTTCCGAAAGGAAGGGCCCCCCCCCGTGCCTTCGGAGAAGGCATCAGAAGAGCTTCTCAGAAGGCTGGAGATCTTCGGAGCCTTCCGAGAAGGCCCGCCCCCTCTGCCTTCTCCCCTGGGCTCGCCGCCGAGTTCTAGCCACTGGGCGACTGCGGCGGTGGGTGATTGCTCCATCATCGGCGCAGTCCTGCTCGTTCTCTCTTCGCCATTGGCCACGTGTACGCTGGGGCTGGATGCGTAAGCGCACGATGCGCGACACGGCAGCTGGCAGCACAGGCCCCGCAGCCACTTCCGGCGCACTGCCCGCAGCCTGTTTCCTGCACGGCACGGCCAGCGTCGGTTCCTCGCGAGGAGGTCCGCGCGGAGGTCCCGCGGTCCGCGCGGATTTCGTGGATTGGCCTTGCGGCGCCTCTGGTGCGCCCCTGGCGCGCTCCGCGCGCCAGGGAGGGGGTTCGGCGCCGATCAGAGAAACCCGCGTGGACCTCCAAGAGATTAGGTGCATGCAGGTTTGTTGCTCCCCTACTGCTGGCAGCCTGTTTCCTGCCTGGCACGGCCAGCCTCTGCTCCTGGAACGTGCGCTGGTCGATCTGGATGAAGGTTGCTGATGTCGAGATGACCTCCACTCGCCCGACGCTGGGATGCCGAAGGCGTGGGCCAGCAGAGTCAGCCGCGTGGTCGTGCAGTGCAGCGTGATCGCCCAGGGTCCACCTGTCAGCACTCGAGCTCAGTCAGCGTGTGGCTTCACCGTTTCCAGCGGCGCATTCGTAGTGGTCGCGGCGCCCTGCCAGTCCCGTCCTGCTGCCAGCGCGCAGCGGAGCAGCTTTCATACGTTGGCCCTGACAGTAGGGTAGCCACTTCCGTCGGTGCATGGCCCCATCCCATAGCACGATCATTTCCCGCCACCGCGATCAGTCTCCGTCCAACGCATCCTTTCGAGTATCGATGAAGAGGCGCACCAAAACGATGTTGTACTGGGCTTTCTCCACCAGCCGCTGCACATCTTGATGCTTCCATTGCTTCGAGAAGAGACGTAGGACGATGTGGTACTCCGTGTGTGGGGGCATCTGCACCTGCTTCGTCGCAAGGTCACCCTCGTCGTTTTGGTCGAAGTCAGGCCCTGTGCGGGCCAGACTCCTCCTGCTCCCTGTCGTGGCTGAGCTTGTGCGCCGTGAGCTTCTCGTCTGGTGGCCGTGGTGCCGCACATATTTCACTCACTCAGCCTTTCCGCGTCCTTCGTCGCGTCTGCCTGCTGTCGGCTTACCTCGTCGTTGTCGAGGCGTTCCCCGAATCAGACGAAGCCGGCCATGCACCCAGTCTTTGGTATCGCCAGTGGTGCAAGAGTCCTGCCCGCATGGGCACTGGGAGCCGCAGCCCATGCCATTATAGGCGGTTAGCGTATCACCATGCCTCGTGTGCGTAGACGTGCTTAATCGTGGCGCGGAGTCGTGTGTGGGCGCCACGCGTCTTGAGGTACGTCCGCATTCCCTGTATGTGTTGCGCCCTTGTTTGCTTGATCCTCCATCCAGCCTTCGGTGAATTTGGATGTCACCCTGTGGAGCTCGAACCAGCTGTCTGTATCCATGATGCTCGTCTTTGATACAGGCCATTCAGCCAGTGCAAGTCGCTCGCGATCGGCATGCTCCAGCCCCCCTTGTCATCCCAGAGGAAATAGTCCACCGTAGTAACGGGCTATGTGGGCTCGTCCCGGCACGCTTTCCCAGGACTGGGCTTGATGCTTCGTGACCTGGAGCTCCGCCTGCCGTGCAGGTGATCCTG